TGGTGATGGTGCTGGTGGTGGTGGTGGTGGTGGCGGTGGCGGTGGCGGTGGTGGTGGCGGTGGCGGTGGCGGTGGTGGGAGTGGCGGGTGTGGTGGGGGTAGTTGTGGTGGTGGTGGTGGTGGTGGTGGTGGTGGTGGTGACGGTGGCACGGACATTCGCCTGTCGCAACCGCCTCGGCTTAAAGCGATACAGGATCCCAATGCTGATGCTTATTCAAGCTCTCAGAACCACAACCGTCATGAATTTGCCACCGCTGAAAACAGTTTGTCCGCCCACTGGGGCGACTGGCCTGTGCCATGTCACGCCTGCTCCGATTCGGAAACTGCTTATCCCAAGTAGCTGGAACATGACCTGCTACATCAACAATGCACTGACCCGCCATGTTGGAAACTGACTCTAATCTGGTCGTCTCAACATTCGCACGAACAGCCGCAAGAATATAAATAGAATGTTCGTCCAGCTGCCGACGCCAACCCCAGTGGGCCAACGTGGAATAGAAGCCCTGGCATCACGAAGCACCGCAAAACGCCCAAAACCCCAAGCCCTGGAGTGTAAAAATTCTGCACCCCAAAAAGCCCTCCACTCTCCTCCAGGCCAGGCCCGAGGTTCCCGAAAAATCCGGTTGACCCAAACCTCTCGCCCAACAGAAGTCCGTCATATCTCCCATCATCTTTAACTCTAAACTCAAGCCCCGTCTTCGTCGTTTCATACTTTCCGGCTCACGCTCTAAACGCACGGCCCTGATTCCTGCTTGCCTTCGCGGCCTTTTGGCAAAACGTGTCTCAGAAAAACGCGCAGGTCATTGAGGCAGGGGAGGTTGATCACATCGAGTACACCGTACTTAAACCGAGAATATAGCGGCAACCAACACCCACGCAAGTTGTTACTTTTTGGTATTACTTAGGTACGGGAATGTACGGGAAATGGCCGTGGACAGCTGGCTTGTGGACATCCCTCGACACTTGTACTTTACAGCTTACCACACATGCGACCGCGATCGCTTGTCTTTTTTTGCTGTCCGGAATTGCGATGGCAGTGATGAGGTCGAGTTTGACGACTGTATTGTTAAGCTACGCGCTATCTCCTGAATCATGATGGGCCTGGTTCTTGGACATCGGGACATAGCCCTTCTTGGGTCCAGAACCCTGTTCATGCCCTTCGACGATGACGGCACGAAGCACCATCATTGGATCCTGGCCAGCGTTGTCTGGGATGCGAGGTAACTGCGACTCTGTGCCCAGACGTCTTCTGTGCGTAGAGCACAGAGCCTTTATGGTGAATCGGCCGGACTATGAGGGGTTTCTGTTCTGTATATCATGCTGGCGTCCTTTTCCAAGATCTCCTTGACCCAGTACCTCGGCGGATGCAGTCTCGCATCAGCGTATCGGTTTCAGAGAGGGTTAAGCGGCTTCTACGCTTTGAATCTGCATCCATGGAGCCATCTCCACTTCAGCACCCCGCTGGTCACCATCTTGACCATGAAGGCAGGGAAGCGGCGAGCTAGCTGTGGCAGTCCCGGTACCTGGCAAGGTGTTTTCCAGCAGCAAACAACGTGCACAGCCCCCCTTGACGTGAACTCCGACTTCCAAGCAGTGCAGACATGACCAGGTTGCACACAAAGCTGAAGCGCCGGGCAGCGCCTTGTCCTGGTTCTTCGAGCTGAGCCAGTCATGCATGGGCTTGTCATCTTCCAGGTACTCTGCCAGAAGCTCCTGCAGCCGCCCCCGGCAGACCGACTGGCTTCTTTTGCGGCTTTATGGTTTGCAATGCCATGTGCGTCCTGGCTTCGTGCTACATGGAAGAAAGCGACACAGCACGGCTCCACAGTTGAAAGCTACTACCGTGGCATGGCATGCATAGCTAAGGATGCGCGCGAGATCCAACCAGGGCCAAGGCACACCGCGAAAGACATAAGCAGAATTATGCAGTTCTGGTTGGGTGAAGAATGTGCGAACTCATCATCTATATTATCCACGATGACGACTGCTGCTAGTTAGTGCAGCAAGGCACAGTCATCTGGTAATGAGAACACATAGTCCTGTTGATGTGCGTCTTTTGGGCTGTACTCTTCACCTTCAAACCCTCCACCACCACCTGAACACGCTGAATCAAACACCCAAAACTGCAAATTTTCTAACTCCCAAACGCCCTAAATCCCGACAGCCCTTCCCTCACACAACCCAAACTTGACGACCCTTAACCACAAACTTCCAGGGCATCAATCGTAAGCCGCAAATTCCCAAGTCCCAGCGGAAGTTGAAAATAAGTCGCACACATAGCCACATAGCCTCCCCAAGCCCCACAACCAAAAACCCTAAACCCAAAACCCTAAACCCCCAAGCCCTTGAATCCCCAAAGCCCTGAAGCCTCCCCCCCTCCGCTCCACTTCAGACAAAAACTGCACTCGTTCCTCGGTGTCCGCCCGTGCCAGCAGTGGCCAAAACATCTCCTTGTCCTTGGCACCTCTGCCGGAACTGTAGCTTCCGTTGAGGGCTTGGGGTGGGATGCAGGGGTTTACATTTCGGGGTTAAGAGGTCTTGTCCCGTCTGGGGTCCGGGGGCTTGAGATGTAGGGGTTTGGGCAAGGGCAAGGTTTTGGATTACGGAGGGGCCACGGTTTAGGGTCATGTTGACGCTGTTCTTAGCAGCTTGCTAGTTGTCGTTCGATGTCTAACTTATACCTTGGCTTCTGCCGCTTTTAAAGGAGCCCTCTTGTAATTTCCGGGGCCGGTTCCTTTAGTAAAGGGAGGTTGGAGTCTCTGGGCAGAAATGAAGTAACATCAAGACGGCCGCAAGTCAAGTCCTGAGGAAGGTAGACGTCAACAAATCGTCATGTGCTTGTATCAGTTCATATTGATGAAGCATAGCAGAAGGATGCCGCAGTACAGCACATAATGCTGAAGCACAGGCCAAAAGACAGTCGCAACAGTAGAACAATTCAACAAGAAGACTTTACGACAGCTAAACGGTTCAAATCACGACATAACCACCGGGTACGCTGCGGTAAGTGTCAACGCTTCGCGCAATCACATCATACGTTTATGTGGACATCCAGGTATGCATCTCCAGGGCAAGCTGGCATGTTACAACATAGCTGGTAGTGGAAAGTTGGGCAAAGGCTACATAAGCTAGCGCAACCTTGGGGTCTGAGCATCCACTTGGGAAACTCAAAACGAGTTGTGCGAGAGGTCTCACCCAAGGGTTGGCGAGTATCTCGGGGGGCTTCTATCGTCAGAAACCTTTCTTGTTTGTCAACTTCGTCTTCTACTTTGTAAGTGAAGAACGTCCAGAATGAAAGACTCACTGCCCTCTGTGCCCATGCCTGCCTTTGTTGGGATTGGGAAAGCTTTCTGATATACATTCCCCAACAAGTGTCTTACCCCAGCAATCCCCGTGACCCTCCCCACCACCCCAGCCTCAATTGTGTTGACTCCCAACTACAGTTCCACTACCCTCACCGGAAGTGCCTGCGCCTGAATTTGTTGGGAAAGCAAAGGCACCCGAAACGTTCTATACCCTAAACCCCGCCGCCCTTGCAACCCCGGATCCCAAGATCGGGCCCGGGCCAAAGAGCTCGAAAGCGTGCTCAAGGACCTCTTTGTCCGATTTCAAAGCGTCGCACTTCAGCAAGAACTTCTTCATCTTGCGGCTGGTGTCGCCTGGGCTCCAGGGCTTCCTGCCTGGGCGTTCTGCAGCCGAAGCGAGGGCGCTTTCACAAAACCTGGAAACATGCGATGTAAGCCATATGAAGACTCGCTTTACTATCGACCCCATACACAGACCCTGCTCCCTCAAACCCCGCACCAAAGAAACAGGGCGTCGAGACACTGGAGAGGAACGAAGCCCGGGCATCCTCGGGCTGCAGGAGTCCTCGTGAGACTTTGGGGTTTAGGGGGTTCCGGATTTTGGGTTCAGGGTTTTTTTTCCCACCCGCCCAGCTGACCATGTCGCACCGCAGGGAGTCCGATGAAGTTAGAGGGAGAATCAAGGGTTTAGGATGGTTCTTCCTCTCCTGCATTGCTAGGTCAAGCCCGCCAGGCTGTAATTCAAAAGGCTCTGAGCCGAGTGCTAATTACAGTAGAATGTTGATACTAATAGTTTCTGATGGTCGTTTCGTTTTTTTTTTTTTTGCGGGCAATGAGCGCGCCTACACTCCAACTCCCCTTTAGGGCCGCTCTTTTCAGCACGGACTGCGCTGCCGGCGCCCATACAACTCTCACCGTGTTGTATAAATACTAAACCCACGAAGCCCAAAAACACACAGTTTAACTCCGGCGTTCTTTCTTCCAAGAGCTGGACATGATTTCGTTTGGCTACCCTGCTCATGCGATGGACGGGCCTGGTCTCCCCGACGTCAGGCTGAAAGTGCATAGGAGGGTCT